AAGTTCAACTTCATCAATCTAGGGTCTACAAACCCCAATAGCCTACTGTATGCACAGCACAGCTACTGTTCTGCGAAATCCCAGAATATCCGGATACTCCTCGGGACCATATCCGGATATGCAATATCCGGATATACAGATTCTCATATCCGGATATACAATATCCAGATATCCTAAAACCCCATATCCGAATACACATATCCGGATATCATATCCGGATATCAAATATCCGGATATTACACGGGCAGATATCCGGATATTTCACGACAGAATGCAGTTTCTGCATTTTCGTGAAGATATCCCAAAAAGGTTCCCTTTTACCGATTTTAAACACCTAATCATGCATTTCTAGGCGTGTTCAACATTACCCAACAACAAGTTATCATCTTTAAGTCATTAGATGCATCAAGGTACCATTTTTAAGCCTTAAAACTCAAGTTAAAGGTTGGTGATCATATCACAGCTCAAAAACAGCAGAGGGAGATGCTCTTAGAGCTCAACACAGCCCCTCAAGTCTGACTCAAGGAAGATGGACGAAAATGGCTTCACAAAGGTTGGTTCTTTCTCACCAAAGGTCACCACTTGGACCTCAAAATGCCATGACTATGGCTTTCAACACCCAAACCACCCAAAACCAGCACCCTCACCCACACACAGAGGATGGAAACTCAGAATACACCCTCACACTTCCTCACCATGCATGTTCTTAAGTGTATACAAGCTCAAAGAGGGAAGAAATCAAGTAAAGGTGACAACTTGAGTTCAAAAATGGTGAAAGGAGGCAATAGAACAGTGAACCACCCTCAGCCCACCAAGTGCTTCACGTAGGAATTCTGGTATGCCTAGGGTTATGTGCTAAAATGCATATATATATATCCAAAACTCACTTAAGCGCACAGTGTTAACTTTAATTGCTACGCTTAGCATCTTAATCCCAAACTTTGGATTATGAAACTACATAATTTTCTAAGATTTATCATATTTTTCTTATATTTTTCTGAGCACCTTTCCGGTACGCGCTTTTCAAAGCCACTACCGGTTTCTAGCACCAGTTCTCATTATTTGGACTTGAAACTCGTTTTACAAGTCCTTCATATTATTCTAGTAATTATCATGCTCTTACATTAATTTTCTGGGATACTTTTTTCGGTACACATTTATACCGACTAGCAGAACCGGTATCTGCACTTTTCTTCCGAAAAGCGACTTTCAGCATTCTTAATCACTAATTATGATTATTAAGCCTCATAAATAATTATTAGGTTCAATTATGGAATCATTTCCTATTTTCACATAATTAATTAATTAAATACCTTAATTAACGGTGCGGGTTCTTACAAACTACAGGTTTTTTTTCCATGAATCAAATAGTTCGATGAACTAACTATAACACAACTTCATTTGAATAAAGAGAATGTATAACTAAGATAGATTTTTTCCATGACAGTGGCAGCAACACCAACTACAGGTTTTCCATGACAACTATCAGGTCCTCAAAACAAGTGTGATGGTCACACATGTTCCATAGGAATGTTGTTATTATAGATATTATATACATTTAGAAATAAAATTGCACTTAAAAATGTTACATATATATCTGTAGTGTAGTGGTTAGCCCAGTTCTTAGGGTGCTTTTGAGTTTTCAGAGTCTTAATTTCCAATGCAGTTGATATTTTCATTGTCGATGAAATTGTAGTATAGGGAAGACACCTTGCCATCAAACTTGGAAACTATTTGATAAGTTGATAGGTGTAACACCCCGTATATATGCGGCAGTGTTATCATTACATCGTATTAAGTTACACTTAATTAAAAATGCGGAATATTCTTTTTCTTTTCAATTATGACGTCATTATCAGTTACCAACTTGATTACTTAATCAATTTCATAAAATATCGCCTGAATGTAAATTGCAATAAGACATCTACTGAAATACCTCAATATATAAATAAAGTGAGTATCTAAGTCACGTCATTACATCACGTAATCCGGACAATATCCTGATACATTAATACAACTCTAATTAAAAAGTATTCGAATACCACAAGGTATCTGAATACCTTTACTAAGGTATCTGAATACTTTTCTTCCCAGAAAAGTATCCCCATACTCCTTGCTGAGTATTCGACTACCTGTTTATGAGTATTCCAATACTCCACGAAAAGTATTCGAATACTTATCAGACAGAATGCAGAAACTCGTGCAGTTTCTGCATAATCCCCAATTTAAAGGCCCTCTCACGATTTGGAGTCCAATAACTCCACAAACAGAAGTCCATTAATATATTTTAAGCATAATTTATCAACCTTTAACTTGAATGATCAAAGCTTCACTTTTTAATGACTCGAACAAGCTAAAACCATGAAATTTCAAAGGGAATGATCATGAGTTATCTCTAGGCTCAAAACTCAGAAAAATGGAGTGACTTAGAGCTTCCCACACAGCTCCACAACACTGACTTCACAAAGCCACAAATTTGACACACAAGCTTGGTCTTTTACACCTAAAGATGGCTTCTTGAAACCACAAATGAAAACAAAATGGCTCCCTCAATATAAACCCAAGAACTCAGCCCCTAAACCACCACTCACAGCAGCTACCACTCAGAAATGGAGAACCTTTCACCCTCCAAAGGCTTGAGAACTCACAACCATGTAGTTTTTGTGAAGAAGTCAAGAGGAAATGTGGTCTCTTGGAGTTTCAATGCAGAGGGAAGGTTGAGACAAGGTGGAGGAAGTGGCAGCATCCAAAGAATCAGAAAAACTCACGTAGAGATAATAGGAACTGACCTAGGTCTTTGTGCCACCTGGTATTTATAGGCGGATTAAGTCTAATACGTCGGTATTAGCACTAATAGTTCCGCTTATTAGTTTAACCTCAAACTTAAGATTCTAAACCTAGCCATTTTTCTAAGATTTGTCATATTTTCATTATTTGCAGCACTTTGCCGATACACGTTTTTACGTAGCCGCTATCAGTCCTGACGCCAGTTCTCATTATTTCGACTCCAAACTTTACATATCAGTCCTAAATATTATTCTAGGAATATTCATACACTTATTATAATTTTTCGGGATATTTCATCGGTACGCACTTATACCGTTAAGCGGAACCGATATCTGCACTTTTCGTGAGAAAGCGACTTTCAACATTATCACGCACTTACTATAATTATTTACGCCCTCTCATAATTATTCAAGGTCAATTATGGAATTATTCTTTAATTTCATCAGTAAGTTATTTAAATTCCTAATTTAACGGTGCGAGTTCTTACAGTCTTAATCTTCAGATTCAGTTCCAGCATAAGACAAATGCTTGCTTCAATCTCACTGCTTTCAGATCCTTCTTCTTCTGATTTAGAGTCACTCCAGGAAGCCATCTTTGCTTTCTTAAACTCCTTCTTCTCAAGGTTTTTATTCTCTTTTGTCTTCTTCTCTTTCTTGGCTTCTTGCTCTAACCTAGGATAATCATTGACCCAGTGATCTGTTCTACCACACTTGTAATACCATCATTAGTTTTAAAAGATTAGTTTTTGGATTTTACCTGCTTGTTTCTTGAGCTCCCATTGTATTTTGGGTTCTTGAAGTATTTTCTGAATTTTCGCATAAGCATAATGATTTCCTCCTCATCATCTGAATTATCGTTAGCCTCCTTGCATTGAGCTTTTAGAGCTATATATTTATCCTTTATTTTCACATCATTCTTTTTGTGAGACTCTAGTTGCATCTCATAGGTCATCAGTGATCCTGCCAGTTGCTCTAAGTTGAAGGTTTTGAAATTCTTAGTCTCTTGCAGGGCAGTGACTTTAGGCATCCAATCTTCTCTTGGGAGACTTAGAATTTTTCTGACATATTCTTCAACTATGATTTCCTTGCCTAAGGCACTTAACTCATTTACAATATTAGTAAAGCGTGTAATTATATCTTTAATTGACTCTTTTGGCTTCTTGGTAAATAATTCATATTGATGCATTAAGAGATCAATTTTAGATTGCTTTACCTCATTGGTTCCTTCATGAGTTACATCTAGGAGATCCCACACTTGCTTAGCAGTTTTGCAAACGATGACCGTGGTTTTTCTTCCCTTTTAGATTTTTCACGTAAAAATTATTGTGTTAATATCTCTCTATCTTTATCTTGATTTATTGCTTTGAGTTAATTTAATTTGCAAATTATTTTTATAAAACTCAATTCACCCCTCCCCCATCTTGAGTTCATGCAGGACCAACAGTTTCCATTGCAAATTTCGTCGCGGATTGCGACGGAAAAACACTGTATGCAGGTTTATCTTTCGCGACTGAATTGTAGTTTTTTGCATGGGAAATTTTTCATAGCAATTTGCGAGGGATTTGATCTCGACAATTTTCCCTCCCAAATATATTTGCGAGAAAACTTTTACCGACGAAATATGTTCCCCCGCAATTTTCGTCGTATACGTATCTTGCAAGGGAATTTTGATAGTTTGCATGGGAAACTTTCCATAGCTGTTAGCGCATTTTCTAGTAGTGTCCGTATTCTCAATACAATCCAACAAAAAATAAATCAAATTACAACAAAATAAAGGTATTTCTCAATGCTACATTTTAATTTCCCATTGTATTAACTAGTACAATGTTACGAACAAAATAAATAAGAATAATAATTTGACTTTATTGAGGAAGTCTGACCTCTTGCACAAGTATCTTTTGTGATAACTTTTCTAATATGATATTTTATTCATTTCACTGGAAGTTAAAATAGACAATGAAAACACTAACAAATAGTAACCACACACCTACTACTAACACTCACAAGATCCTATCTCATCCACTACTCCAATGTTCCTAAAGACTAAATTCAAATACTAACCCTTTTATTAACAACAACAATTTAAAAATTATAAAATTATAAAATAAAAACTAATAATCGTAACATACAACATTATATTAAAATTAAAAAAATAAAATAAAAATAAATGGAACTAATCAAACAATAAATTACAGATAACACATGGTACTTAAATTATAGAGTAAGCGTAAATGGCACTTTGGTGGCAGGTAACCATGAGTTTCCAGCAATGAAATTTGCAACAGTGAATTTTGAGGCTTCAGAAGGTCTAGTTATTACATGGTAACCTGACCATTTAACTCGACTTGCAGTGGAAGAACCAGGACCCGTGTTCATGTACTCTCCATAATACAGAGTACTTAAGGCAAAATTACCACTCCATTCTAACCAACCCGATGGATGAATCAAACTATCAAGAGAAGTTTTCATAACAACTGTTCGAGAATATTGCTTCCAAGGTCTTCCAAGATAAGTCTTAACAGAGTTTTGGGTTGGTTTCAAATCCGAGGCAGCGGTAACCCTACAATTGTGAATGGAAATGCCAGTGTTTTGGTTTGGATCGGTTCTGCCTTGGGCAGTGATTGTGTTAACTTTGTTGGGAGGGTTTCTTGCAAATATGTTGCAATTTTGGAACACAACAGCAGCATTACCAAAGATGAAGTCAACAGTGCCATAGATATCACATTCCCTATAGAATTGTCTTTCAGAGTGGACATATAATGTGTCTTGGTATCCTTCAAAACTACATTTGTAAAACACTGACAAATCTGATCCAGAACGCAATGCAACAGCTTGATGGTTTTTTGCACCTCCGGTGTTCCTAAATGTGATATCTTGAGCAATAAATCCATCCCCTACAACAGCTGCAAAAAATTCATTTCTAGTTAGATCTCACATTTCTCATTTCTTTGTAATAACATTTCTTATTACTTTGTAATAAACTGTATTAGAGAAATATAAAACCATTAATATAACATCAATCAGCAGCCTAAAAATAAGTAAGTAAAATGAAACAAATGAACTCACCAACAGTGGCTGAACGAAAGGTTGTAGTGCCACCTCCAACACTTTTGCTACCTGTGATTATGGTCTTACCAATACCATCTCCTACCAACATTATATTCTTTGCCTTTATCTCAACTTGTTCATTGTATATTCCTGCCTTCACGTGTATCACATACCTTCCGCTACTACTTTGTGGTGCAGCATTTATGGCTGCGTTCACCGTTGTGAACTTTCCAGAACCATCTTGTGCCACCACTACGTTAGCTTGAGAAGCTGGAGAAGATGTCTGCAAGAGCTTTCTATCACCTGGCTTGACCCATGTTGGGAACCCTTCTTTGTAATTTGGTTCTTCATATTGAACCTTGTTAAGAGCCAATGTGTTGCTTAGCAACTTAGTAACATTGTTGGACATGAGAGGCAGCACATAGTCTTGGACCCCAAGCTCGTAGAAGCCACCTTTGCATGTCTCAAGGTTAGTGAGAGCTGTGCTGAGCCATGTTTGAGCATCAACTTGGGAGCATTTGGTGTTTGGGTCTAAGGTTTTGTTGAGCCTTTGGATGGTTTGCTCATAAAGCTCAACACAATCAGCCCAAGCAGCTGTTTCAAGTTTGTTACGGCACTTTGAGCCAAGTGAAAGAGTGTTTGCATGGCCTTTGAGGGCTCGTTCTTGAGCAAGTTGCAATGATAGTTTGAGAAAATCTGATTTGTGTTTGATTGGTTTGTGTTGGTGAGTGGGGTTATTGCTTAAGAAATACTCACATGGTTGAGGGTTAGGGGTTTGGCTGCACCAAAGCTTAACGTCATTCAAGGAATAACCAGAAACGAAAGAGGAAAGTAAGAAGGGAACCAAAAGGGTTAGAAGCATGACAAATGCTGTCATGGTTACTGGCTATTAATTAGCCTTCTATATGGCCTTAATTACGTGGACAATCCTTGATAATTATTGAATGTGAATAATGAAGATGATGTATAAGAGAGAAGGGTTTGCTTGAATAAAAGTGGATGGATTTTCATTTGCTAGTAGCTTGCCTTTATATAGAGGAAGGGAGGAAGGGATTGTTGGAATAATATATAAGGAATCTTGCCATTAGGGGACACAAGCTTAATCTTGCCAATAGTTTTATTCATCACCAACATCTCAAAGTTGTAAGCAATATGATTGATAGAAATGTGATTTATGCTTGTCTTTAACTTTCAATCTTCGTAGAGTCTATTGACTTGACATGTGGCAATATTTTAGCAGCCAAATAAAACGCGTGAATATATGTATTCTTATTGAGTTTAGGCCGTGTCTTTTATGAAAGCAGCTGGCTCGGCTAATTGTATTGGATTTGGTTGTCAATGGGGACTAGCACAAATGTTGAAATTCTTGAATTGGCGACTAGTTGACGTTTCTAAAAGGTTTTCGAAGGCTAAATGAGAAACGACATTATCAGTGGACCAATGCGTACCATTATGTAGGATGTACATGCTTGTTTTAAATGATTAATAATTCGAACTATTTATGTTGGTAAAGTAAAACTTTCATTTCCCCGTGTCACGTGTGAAACCCTTATTATTTTCAAACAAGGAAATATTTTCCCTAGTAAAAGCAAGTAAGATTATTAATGAAAACCAAAATATTGCATGTGAAATAAGTATACTTTTGAATATTGCATATATTGTGAATTATAAGCAATATTTCTAGAAGGATGAGTTGATAACAACATTATGAATATAATTTATTTCTAATAAAGATACGTGTCATGGAAAAACTGTTAAAGCAAAACAAATGGCTACGAACAGATTCATGAATTGAGAAAAAGTACTTTGCCGCCAAGTGGCGAATGATGTTTTGCTGGTTTGAGAGTTTTGAAAATTTCAAACAAGCAACTTTGACAATGTGACCTTTCAAAGAAATTATGTTGTTCTCACTCTGACATCTAAATTTAAGCTTGAGTATTTAGCTGTGTGTATACTTTGCATGGCGACAGAAGCATCTGCACGTAAGGATAAGGATGAAACTTTAGAATGATGAGAGTCACCGAGAGTGGGTCTCGGGCTTAGGCTAATAAGGAAAGTGTGTAGGGAATGATGACTCTATAAATAACAAGGAGAATTTACGTGCAAAAGTGGCCTCCTCAATAATAATAAGGGGCATTTATAGGTGGAGAAATTCTCCAATAATTAGTGTGTGAAAGTATTCTCTTCTAGTGCATGAAACACGAGTAGAGGGAAGTGGATGAGATTCAGTATAATGAGCTAACATTTGTTTCACTTGAAAGATGCATGATTGTAATCTCTTTAATGGGCCTTAAATGCTAGCGTAGTAAACTGAGCTTGTGTAGTCGGTCCAGAGCAACTATTAATATAAAGGGTTTTATGTTTATTATTTTACATAACATAACTTCACTTTCTTACACACATATTAAAGAAGTGGGGTCTATATATTTTTCTTTCTCTTTTATCATTTCACTTTCTCTCTTTTCATTATTGTGTGTGTTGAAAAATCCACTTATATCATGTCACATAACATTAATAAAATTGGGTTTAGACTTTATCTTTCATATAACTTCTTAACAAAGCAATATACAATATTATTGACTTTTTCTTTTTCTTTCTTTCTCAATCTGTGCCCAAATACCTATAATTAACACCCTTGGATACAGCCAGCACGCGTGGTTTTTTTTTTCAACACTTCATTCCTTACTAATATGCCCAACTACAAGGCAACTCCCACGCTTGACAACCTGCATAAAGATTGCACACAAGAGCTATACCAATTTGTGGACTGTGTGCACGAAATCGTGCATGAATTAGACAATTCTCAATTAAGCCGGCATTGTGTGTGATCAGCACTTTTTTTTTTTATACCCACTTTAATTACTTTTTTGAGGGAGTCAGCTCCCAAGTATTCTTACAAACATCAATTTTTTGAGTCGGCTATGAAACAAATTCTTAGTAAGACTTAATCACACACAGTTAAAGTTTTTTGTCTCTCCCCAAAAATATATTTGGTGAGAATCGAATACAAATTTTATCTCCTATCCATTCAATTTGTATTATCAACTGAGCTACTATTATTGGGTGAAGTGATCGTGGTTACCAAATTCAGTTGAGTGAAGTAATATTTAATGAACTAATATCTTATATTATAAATTAATTAACGGGCTGATACTTTATTATTACTAATTAACGGACTTTGACTTTTAAAAAAAAAATTCGTTATAAAAAATATGTTAAGGATATAAACATCTGTTACGTATAAATATGTAATATGGACAAGACACAAAGTTCATTTGACATATTAATTGATAAACGTTAGTAAATGTTTTTTAATTAAATTTTGTAGTCCGTAACTACTTATGACATTAAAATTAAAATCCATTTTAATTCTTTATTCTAATTCATTGTCTTTCCCTTGCATGACATGAAAATAATACTTTAATAATTTTATATAGAGCTTAAAGACAATTTTCATATCAACAGTATGTCCCTATCCTGAGGTTAGTTGAGCCGTTTACAGCAAGTGAATTGTGATGGATATCTCACTTCCGTTCACACTCCTTCGTACGTAATACTTATATAAGTTTTCCATTAATTGCAACTCGTCCCACAAGCATCATTGGACACCTACCTACTGAACATTACACTCATCATTAAAAGTTTATAGGGCTTGTGTATTTCCCACGTTTCAATTTGAAAGGCTCTTTATGTGAGAAATATATGTGATTTCACAGGTTAAACTTAAAAAAATAAAAAATAAAAGGTTAATTTTTTCTAAAGTTACTTTAGATAATTTTGTCTAATGTTCACCGAAATGACATCGTTTTGAAATGAAAATCATGATAAATTTATAATTTTAATTTATTTCAGGGTTATAATAGTCTTTATCATTTTAATTTTTTAATTTTATACCCCAAAACGACATTGTTTCGATGAACATTAGATAAAATTATTTAAAACAATATTAGATATTTTTTTCCCAAAAATAAATTGATTCGTTACATAATCATTTCTTTGAAATTCAGAGTAAATTCAGAAAATTACAAAGGAACATATGTGTATTCTCAATATATAATCCAACAAATAGTAAGTTCATACGAAATAAAGGCATTTATCCATGGTATAAAGCTAGTCATACAAATGTATTTGCTTTCACAACATTCAAAATTATTTTACAAATAAAAAACAAGAACAATAGTGTAAATAGAACAATCAAGAGACAAATAATAAGATTTATAGAGTAGAGGTGAAAGGCACACTAGTGGCTGGTAACCATGAGTTGCCAGCTATGAAGTTTGCAACAGTGAATCTTGATGCATCTGAAGCATCGGTAATGACATGATAACCTAACCAGTTAACTCGACTTATAGTGGAAGAACCAGGACCTGTGTTCATGTACTCTCCATAATGTAGAGTGCTTAATGCAAAGTTACCATTCCATTCCAACCAACCTGCTGGATTAATCAAACTATCAAGATATGTCTTCATGAAAATTGTTTGAGAGTATTGTTGCCAAGGTCTTCCAAGATAAGTCCTAACAGAGCTTTGAACAGGTTCTAAATCTGAGGCAGCTGTAACCCTACAATTGTGAATAGAAATACCTGTGTTTTGGTTTGGATCAGTTCTTCCTTGGGCAGTGATTGTATTGATTCTGTAAGGAGGATATCGGGCAAAAATGTTGCAATTTTGTAACACCACAGCAGCATTACCAAAGATAAAGTCAACAGTGCCATAAATGTCACATTCCCTATAGAATTGTCTATTAGAAAGCACAAACAATGTGTCTTGGTAACCTTCAAAGCTACATCTGTAAAATACTGATAAATCAGAACCAGAACGTAATGCAACAGCTTGGTGATTTGCTGCACCAGCAGTGTTCCTGAATGTCATATCTTGAGCCATAAATCCATCTCCAACAACACCTACAAAATTTCATAGTATTTAAGTGTTTAATAAACCACTCTCCATTAAATCATAACTAGCAAGCATAGGAGCGAGGACAATTTTTTACATAAATTTAACCTTATATATTTATAAAGAGATTGTTTCCTGTATTCGTGATCATCCCGTCACACACAAGAGCAGATTTACTATTTGTTATGGACCTGACAAAGGCCCGTATTCTAGAAGGACTAATAAAGGACAGCACAAAAGGAAGAGAATCTCCTATTGATGACAATCATATCCAGACAGCTAGGCAGTTGGACTTGGACCCCCAATATTCCTAAGAGGCCCATAATTACACTCATTCAGCTAACCCATCTATAAATACAGGGTTAAACCAATAAGGTACACACTCTCTAAACCCTGTCTCTTAGCTTGTCACTGTGCACACACCCCACGCCTTGATCGTATCAATTATTATTGTGCACAGTGATCAGCCTACCCTCAAGGGTATCTCATTCATAGATACTTGAGAGAGGACACCTAGATCCTACATAAAATATACCAGTCACCGGTTGGACATCTCTGTCTTTAAGACAGAACACTATTGCTTGGGATTCGCCCTCTTATTTAAGAGCTTAATTTTTTTGATAAATATTTCCATTATTTTTTAGAGTATGAGATGGAAAAAGAAGATAAAACTCAGAAAAAACCTTTTTTTGCTTACCAACAGTGGCTGAACTGATGGTTGTAGTGCCACCTCCAACACTTTTGCTACCTGTGATTATGGTGTTGCCAATACCATCTCCAACCAACATTATATTCTTTGCCTTTATCTCAACTTGTTCATTGTATATTCCTGCTTTCACGTATATCACATACCTACCGCTACTACTTTGTGGTGCGGCATTTATGGCTGCACTCACCGTTGTGTACTTTCCAGAACCATCTTTTGCCACCACTACGTTAGCCTGAGAAGCTGGAGAAGTTGTCTGCAATAGCTTTCTATCATTTGGCTTGACCCATGTTGGGAACCTATCTTTGTAACTTGGTTCTTCATATTGAACCTTGTTAAGAGCCAATGTATTGCTTAGCAACTTAGTAACATTGTTGGACATGAGAGGCAGCACATAGTCTTGAACCCCAAGGTCGTAGAAGCCAGCTTTGCATGTTTCAAGGTTAGTGAGAGCTGTGCTGAGCCATGTTTGAGCATCAACTCGGGAGCATTTGGTGTTTGGGTCTAAGGTTTTGTTGAGCCTTTGGATGGTTTGCTCGTAAAGCTCAAGACAATCAGCCCATGCAGCTGTTTCAAGTTTGTTACGGCACTTTGAGCCAAGTGAAAGAGTGTTTGCATGGCCTTTGAGTGCTTGCTCTTGCGCAAGTTGCAATGAAAGCTTGAAGAAGTCTTCTTTGTCTTTGATTGGTATGTGTTGGTGAGTGGGGTTATTGCTTAAAAAATACTCACATGGTTGAGGGTTGGGGGTTTGGCTGCACCAAAGCTTAACGTCATTCAAGGAATAACCACAAACGAAAGTGGAAAATAAGAAGGGAACCAAAAGTGTTAGGAGCAAGCGAAAAGTTGTCATGGTTAGTGGTTAGCTTTCTATGGCCTTAATAATTACATGGACAATTTTGTATAATGGAAATGTGAGCGATGGAGATAGTGTGTATAAGAGAGATGGGATGGAATTTCATGAAATCATAGGCTTCCTCTATATAAGGAACCTAGCCAATGGGTGGCCTTTTACTTTTGACATTTATTTTCGCTTTTGCCGTTTATATTCTTTTATTTTTAACAATTAAATATACAAACCGTTTTTCAGTTATATTCATAATGAATATCCAAGTTGTTGGCAATATGATTAATAGAAACATGATTCATGCATGTCTTTGACTATCACTCGGCGTAGAGTCTATTGACTTATATATTGGCATATGGCAATGTTTTAGAAGCCAAATAAATCCCGTCAATGTATGTATTCTTATTCAGTTCATTATGTGTGTTACATGGAGGCTGTGACACCCCTCCCGTTGCGCGAGGGGATATAAAAACAATAATAAGAAAAAACTATATATATAAAGTAACAAACATAAACAAGTTTTATATGTTCCTATCAAATTCAGTGTCGTCTTTACCTTGTTTATTGTCTGCAAAATTGAGGCTCAAGCCATCCCGGTAATCTAATGGAGCAGATTCTCTCGGGTAAAAAATTCACATGATGACGTTATGAGAAATATGTCATCAGTTTATTTAAAGGAACAACCAGAAGTCAAAATTATCACATTAATTGCTAGCAGTTGATTGGAGAATAAATGGATGACATCTTACGCACGAGTCACATGACTTGTTCATATCTTATACATTTTTTTATATTCATCTACTCCTATTCATATCTTATACATAATTGCTATCATTTTATACATCTCACCCTCTTCTCCGATTTTCAAACCAACAGCACAGAAGGAAAGCAAAAATCATGGGGTACGGTAACTCTCTTTTCTTCGCTGACTCTACATCACCATTCCACAATAATAAAAACTGACCTCGCATTAACCATCATAAAAAAAAAACATTTCAATCCAAAAGTTTAAGCTGGTAAATGATGGGCTTTCAATGGTTTTATCTTATATCTCTCTAACACAACTATTCGCGCAAGAGCTCTTTGGACTTAAAGCGTAAATATTACACAGGTCCATTTTTTATCCTACCTTTTACTGGCTTAATTCCAATAAAAAGTGGGGCGATGAGAATCAAATTCATTATCGTGTGGTCACCGTGACTTTGATACCATAATACGTAATCACCTCAAATAAAAGTTTAAACTTTTTGGTTGAATTAATTTTTTATAACCACCAAATAGAGCTTTCATAGTTGTTGGAATCGACGCAATCACACACATAATTGATAGATAGACAATAATTTATCTCGATTCATCCAATATAATCTACATCCAGCATATCTGTACCATATTTTTCTTACCGCACTCGTTACAAGTAATTCGATTTACAAGGTGAATATAAATAGAATTACAAATCCTTGGCAATAATACCTTCATGGGTTCAAGCTCAAATAACTAAGAAAAAAAAAAAATTAAGCCAAAGACTCATAACAGTAACGGGCCTCCACGGTCATGGGCCCAAGCCAAATCCCCGTAGGCTTTTTTTGAGTCACGTGAACTGTAGTCGTCATCCAACTGCGAAATACGAGTGATAGCCAATAAATTTTTTTTTTTTTTTTTGGATACAGCCATAGCCAACAATAGTTTCTTTAATATCCTTACTATCCTCACAAAAACGCAGAGAAATAAAGAATCATTGACGATCCTAAGCAAACACTCGGGAGTTTTGCAATGGTAACATTACTCTTTGCTGGGAATAATGTTTTCCTATACAATTGGTCCTCTTTCTCCAGCGAATTAATTCTAGCCCATAAAGAACCGATTTGCCAGTAATCAAACTTTACCTACATTGAAGCATATCGAGATGACATTGACTCTGCTTTGGTCAAAGCCACCATGGCAAACAAAAGCTATAACATAAGCTATGAAGAGGTCATTCTCAAAAACAAATTCAAAAACATAAGCTATATGACATATACCTTCTTATTGGCATAACCAATTTTAAGCTATAACATATACCTTTCTTATTGGCATAACCAATGATAAGCTATAATATATACCATTTTTTATAAAATCAACTCACCAATCTTTGCCTAGAGCCACCTTAAACTTTAACTTCATCCCAATTAGTCCCTAAAATCTTACCATTATTACAACTCCTTCTGTTAACTTGGAGCTCAGTTATTAACAGTGAACAAATCCTAACTGCTCATATTTATTAAATTTAAATCAATTATTTATATTTAAAAATAATAATAATATAATGTTATTTTTAAATTAAAAAAGATTAATAAATAAAAAAGACAACTTGAGGCATTGGATTTGTTTGACTCTCGTTGTTGAAAAGATAAAGCTGTTCCAACAACTAAAACATAAAACAAAACTTATTTGATTACTTATTTTTTATCCCATTGTTTTGAAAATATCTTCTACATGATTTGTTTTTGGAATAAAAAACAACAACATATTTTAGTTGTCTTGGTTTTTTTATGACATATCATGTGATACAACCAACTCTTCCAAAAACCTAAAGATTAATTAAGAGGAGGAACATAAATGATTTTATTATTCTCTTAATAATTATAGCCTTTGTTTATACTTTTTCTTAATTATAGAAGGCAACTTGTACACACAAATCTGTGTTCAACTTATTTAACCCGCTTTGCATAATCAATAACCTGTGAGAGATTCAGACAAGTTATCCCATTACTTCATTTCTGTTAAAATTAACGACGATCATGACTATTTTGTCACGCCTGACAAAAATTTTTACCAGACTGCCACGTCAACAGTAAATTTTGCCAAAATATCACGCGGCATATTTCGCTACACTGTTTAGCGAAATATGCCATGTCAAGCTGCTCAGTCAGAAAAAATGACACGTGTCAAGCATGCAGAAATTCGCTACACTGTGTAGCGAATTATGCTTGGATTCTCCCTGCTTGACACGTGTCATTTTTGTTGACTGTGCAGTCTGACATGACATATTTTGCTACACTGTGTAGCGAATTATATGTAAACATATTTCGCTATACAATGTAGCGAAATATGCCACGTGGCATTTTGGCAAAATTTACTGTTAGCGTGACAGTCTAATACATTTTTTTGCTAAGCATGACAAAATAGTCACTGTTCCAAGAGTTTTAGTAATACATGAATATTAATGCCGAGTTCACAGGGCCATCAAGTCATTCATTTGGGCTCACTACAAAAAAAGTAGTTGATTACTCGAGGTTTTTTAGTGTAGGTCAAAAAAACCTTCACTAATGATTTAACTTTTGGCAGGTTTTAAACCTCCACAATTTGAAATTATCTTATTTCATTCTTTATGTACCAGTTGACATTATTTTTAGTGATCTACGATTTGTTTAGATCATTAAAATGTTTTTTGGCGGACCTTTTTAAAAAAAGTTGTTAACCTTGGCATAAAACCCAGCCCAAACCCTTAGTTTTCTGTCACGTTTTCTCTCTCGCGTCTCTTAGTTATGATGAACGGACACCGACACGATATGATACGACATGACACGTCGACACGTTAATTTTAAAAAATGTCATATTTGTACACGTTAGGACACGTTTTGATATTAAATAAAAATTTTAATATATATAATATAATTTATATTTAATAGATATAAGAGTCCATAACAAGTCATATAACCAATCAAATATTTAAATTTTATAACATAAATATAAATAAAAATAATTTTTTGTACTTTGTTAATTATTCATGTCAAATTTCATAATAGAAAAAAATTAATTTATAAATTATTTTTTTTATATTTAGTTAATAAAATAAAATTAAGATTAAAAAAATAAAAAAAATGTGTTCGAGCGTGTCCGAGAGTTGATCGTGTGTCTAAAAAATATGTTGAAATGTGTTAAACGCGTGTCCCCAAATCTTGACTGCTTTGAAACTTTTCGCGTGTCGGTGGTTGCGAGTCTCTTAGTTTTCAGATTTAAGTTTTTCAATTTGAATTCGCTTACTCATTTCAACTTTCTCTCTCATCATTTCGTGTTCCTAGACTCAACCTCGCCGGTAAGTGATTTTGCATCGGTTTTGCGCAACTATAAAATAGTAAAAAAAATGGGCAAAACCTAAAACTCTTGTTCTACAATTTCAATTTCGCAAACCCTTGTTCTCGTTGCAGCATAACGTTCGTCGCAGATTCGAAGCTGCTCTGCTTCTCTGCCATCAACTACAACAGTGTTGGTAAAACTTTCTCTGTTCCACTCTTGTAATTTTCACATTTTTTACTACATTTCCAAATTCTGTCTTTTATCTCGAAGCATTTGTTTGGGTAAATGGAATGTGGAGATTATGTTTATATATGATTTGCATTTGTGTGGGTTAATGGGAACCAATTTTGTGATGTTCTGTGTGTGATCGATGAAATGCCTTAATGAAGTGATACTCTTACAACTAGCTGTGTTTCTTGAATCGAGCAAGCAAAGATGGTTAGTATGAACTATTATAACTAATAGGTTTATTCTCCAATAGTTTCAGTGACACATCATCGCAGGAGTAGGTTCACATTACATGCTTGAAAGTTTTTAAAAGACCAAAAGTAAGCAAATTCTGTAGTAGTGGCATTTCTTTCCCCTGCCAAACATATTGTGAATTATATTAGCTTTTTAATTTGTAGAGTATAGTAAATTATATTAGTTATCATGTTATTGCTGATAAAATTTTAAAAAATAAATAAAAAATTCAGGGTCTAGGATTTAGAAAACAGTATTTCCCTTGTAATAACTTTTCGGATATACAAGCATCCATTCTAATTAAACTAGTTAAGCTTTTAGAAACCATGCTGGTGACTGTGGATAGCAATTCCTAATTTCTTGAAGTTGTTGCTCAAAGAAATTCTTAACTAGCAATAACTAATCCATGTCAAATGAAGAGATTGTGGCTTCATGGGCAGTTACTGTACTAGTTGGAGCCATGCTATCAGTATTCTACACATGGATCCTGATTAAGCTTTTGTCCTATATTTTATGAGCGTATGTTACATGATATGAAGAACAAGTTATGTATGTGATTAATTCAAATTACTTGCACCGTGTTTCACATGATAATTTTTTTGTGGGAAAATATTGGGAAAAAACCAAAAGTATGTACTTAATAGATTCATTTTAGCCTTGTTGCCTTATATCTGCTTTAAATGCATTCCTTGAAACACTCTTCGTTAATAGAGCAGTGAGATTTTAGAGACATGAACCTGTTTATTCAATAAGGTTACTTGATGTCTAGACCAGATATTTGTATAACAACCTAATGTTGTGAAAAATGTATAAGAGCAATAAGTCATACGTGTAGAGCTGAATTAGAAGTTGAGCAGAAGCAAAAAATTGTATCAAAGATAATTTGACATGTTGGACCTTTGGTTACTGAAATTTAGACAATGGTTACTGAAATTTTAAAACGGATAGAATATATTTTTATAAGATCACTAGGAGTTTTAAGAATAAATCAATCACCCTTTAAGCATATCCTTTGCCTTCTAATAAGATTTAATGGTACTCCGAAAATGTTAGTTACAAAGCTTTGTGAAGAAACTCACCTTTGTTGCAGGCTCAAATTATTTTACAGTTGGGTGTATTTATCGAAGGACCTTTTGAATTCACATAATTCCTTAAGGCCGGAATTTAATTTTGGAGAGGGATTATTGGAATCTAATGCTTCTACGCCAGAGGTAATGATTTCATATGCTTATTTTAATGTTGAACTCTATATTATTAGTTCAAGTGACTCATTCTTTTAAGCATGCTAAAAAGGTACAATAAATTGGTTTTTCATAGGACGAAGGAAGTGAAGAAGCTATCCCAACACGCGGAAGGTCTTCATTAGATAGTAATCACTCTTGAATTGGGTTATGTAAATTCAATATTTTTGCTATGATTTTGAGTTCTGTAAAATGATAAGTGCATAATTAGAGACTCGTATGGATTTTAGAGTTATAAAATGGATTTATTTTACGTTCTTGTTATGGATAATTGTAAATTTCCTACTCTTTCTCATTTACACAACATTGAATCAACTTTATATCTTTTATGAATGTGTAAAATTATAGTGAGGCATATTCTACTATGAAGTTATGCCCTTCATTAGATAAAAGAACACTATGTAAGTTTTTGTTTTGCTAGATATTAATTCAACTTCATATTATAGTATATCGGTGTTATAGTGTATTTATATTTTTACTTATGTAAAAAAGTATTAACCAAGTGCAAGCATGAATATGAACTATGATTGGTGTGTTATAGTGTTGCTTTTTGATAACTAGTATTTAATAATTATTTTCAAGGAAATGTTAAGAGATCAAACACATAAATGATAAATTGGCTAACAAATCAATTGATTGGCCCAATTCCAAAATTATGATATACAATCTTTCAAATTTGGATTACTAGTAAAAAGAAAAAGAAAAATTATAGCAGTCTATGACCTCCAGAAAATGATAAATGTTGTGGGGGTCTTTGAATGACAAAAAGTCAAATATATTGTGGAAGTTTGTAAAACTCTAGAAATAATACAATGTTTGTGGGGGTCTTGAACCTCCAGAAAGTGCAACATTTGTGGGAGTCTGAAACCTCCAAAAAATACTCAAACAAATTGTGGCGGTTATTGTGAATGCCATAAATGTAGTTTGTGGGGGTCAAAGACCCCCACAATATGAAAATATGACCCCCACAAAATGCCTGAATTTTCGTAGTGGCTGTACATTGATTAAAGAGTAAATACATTTTTTGGTCTCTGGCAATATCCACAAAGTCCTTTTTGGTCCCTAGCAATAAAAAAAGGGACATTGTGGTCCTTAAATTTTACAAATTAGGCCCACGTTAGTCCTTCTGTTAGTGGGACTCTAACGCCGTGAATAACGTCTCTGACGTGTACTGTTAAATTGCTGAGTCACCACTGAGGAATCCACCTAGATAAAAAACGACGTCGTTTAGTACATTACTTTTTCTTTCTTTCTTCTTCTCTCCAATACAGGTCCCCTCCACCAGCATCCATGTTCATTACAGTTCACCTGGATTACCATTCTCCACTGCCATCGTTACGGCCTCCATGCAAAACTCCACCCTCTGCCTCTCCATCATTATGTTAAGTTGAATGAGTGCACGATCTCACCCTCACTTCGAGTAGTCTGAGACAGCTGAACCTCATTATGTTTAGTTCATCAGGAAGGCTCTTCAGGCGTTAAAGGTGCTAATAAAGAGAAACAAGGGACTACCCATTCAAGAGTTTTAGAATTCACTACTGATGAAGGTTCAGTGGGTCTTCCTCATCATGCATGGAAAAATTTATTTTTTGAGAAACTCCGCGAGTACATCATAATGCTCTGTTTCTAAACTCCGCGAGTTTCACATCTTGAGTATCTCAGCAAATCACACTTTAAACAATAAAGGTGAAATGGAAGAATATATGACATGACATATATAGATGGGGATTGCTTTTCCTTTCTTAGGATTCTACAAATTTACCTCCCCCCTACATCCTGCTATTCCTCACCACTAGCATACAGTTATAGTACTTAAATGAAAAACAAGCTTGCTGGCAACAGATGGAGTTACAGCTTACAAGCTATTTTGACTTGAGAAACATGTTACAATGAATTCTTGTGTGAGATATAAAAACTCCTCTCCAAAAAACCCAAATCAAACACACAGGATAAGAAAAATAATTTGAGATATGATACAGACTGCAGATATATACAAATATGATATGATAATATGCAGTTTAAAACATGTTAGCCTTTAATAAGATAAGGTTATGCTAAAGAAAATCAAAAGAAATAGGCATGTGCAGTAAAGCAAACGTTACATATCAGTTTAATTGTACCGTTGACAGTTATATCTAAAACTCAAACTCGAAGTGTTTTATCTCTACACTGCTAGGCCAAGTGAACACATATCTCGACACCCTGTATTCTAGAGCAAACTAATGAATTCATTTTACAGCAGGAAACATTGTACAACACTATAACAGTGTTCTTAAGCACGTCTATTCGAATTCTGAGGCATAAATACAGTTAGCATACTACTCATAACATAGTATTCATGGTTGCTGAATACATAATGAACATTGGGATCTCCCTCATGTCAAGATCAAGAACAAGCCTTTCAACCTTATACATCCTCCGGTGAGGTTAGTCTAGAAAAGCTACTAACTAAAAAATTCTACAAAACTAAGAGCTTCAGCTCAATGGAGATTATGCAGTAGCAGTCACTTAAGTTTCCTCAAACCTCAACTAAGAATAGCAAAAACCATTAACAACCTTAAATAATAGATGATTCGCTACAAACCTATTGCATATAATACAAAAGGAGTTAAAATTTTCAAGACCATGGTTTATGTTACTAACCATACTTAGAAACAAACAAGTGAAAGAAACTTGTAAAATCAACAGGAAATTAACATTTCATGAGCATTTCGTTTCACTCTTGTCATTCTTGTGCATTATGATGTACTCGCAGAGTTCCTCAGCAGGATCAGTCTAATGCTCTGCAAGTACATCATAGCAGCTAACTACCAAATTTACGGTACCATTACCATCTTTTTTCATTTACATTCTAATGCTCTGTTTTATAAAATATTCCATTGTATTTTTCATCTGTATCTTCTAGCACCCTCTTGTGCTTTTACCATAATGGTGAGGCTAATCCAGTTGCTTTGCTTCTCTCCTCGGCCATGATGTTGAGGCATCTTCGGTTCTCTTCTTTTGCTGACAGACTTGAGACTATTGTGAATCGTGGCATCTCAGAGTGCAAGTACTGGACAAAAGATTTTGGCGGAGACAGCACTATCCAGGAGATTGTTGACGTTGTCATTGCCAACCTCGACTAAATGGGTGTTCATTTACCATTTTTAAGTCTTGTTGACCAGCCCTCATTTACCATGGTGGTGGTGAACTGTAATGAACATGGGTGCTGGTGGAGGGGACCTGTATTGGAGAGAAGAAGAAAGAAAAAAAAATAAGGTACCAAACGATGTCATTTTTTATCTAGGTGGATTCCTCAATGGTGACTCAGCATTTTAACAGTACACGTCAGAGACGTTATTCACGGCGTTAGAGTCCCACTAACAGTAGGACTAACGTGGGCCTAATTTGTAAAATTTAGGGACCACGATGTCCCTTTTTTATTACTAGGGACCAAAAAAGACTTCGTGGATATTGCCAGGGACCAAAAAGGGTATTTACTCTTGATTAAATCAAACATATATCGTAACATGAAAAAATTATTCGCAAACCATTCTATAAACTTCAGATTAAACTTTTGAGATTACAAAAGAAATATGTATATTTGTATATTCTCATTACAATCTAACAATGAATCATGGTTGTTAGTATCGATACGATACGATACAGTGTCAAATCGATACGGATCGTAATCGCAAATCGTTTTTGGGATGAATCATGATTTGGAATAGTATAATCGAATTATTCGCAACCGAATCGTGAATCGAAATTATTTTTGTGATTCAAAATATAAAAAATAAATAAAAAAAAAACACTCAACGGTCGCTTGGAACGACATGTTGTTATATGAAAGGTTGCTTCAGAAAAATCAGGGATTCAAAATCTCATTTAAAAAACAAAAGGAAACAAGAAGCAACGAAACAGAAATTTCAGAGGAGAGACTTGCAGAGGAGAAAACGCCTTGCAGAAATTTCCAAAGAGTAGCGCTCAAGAAGACTTGCAGACTCTGTGTAGAAGAAGACTTGCAGAGGAGTAGATTCAGAGAGCGTGTAGAAGAAGAATCACAAAAGGCAAAGGAGTACGGGTACTGTTTTTGAAATGGGTGATTTGATTTGTGATTGGAATTTGTAAATTGTAAATATCTTAAAATATTATAGTGATGATTCAGCTCTAATACATATTAAAATATAAAACACCCCTAATGATTAAAAAGGGTGTTGGTTTAGCTCAGTATTCTTGCATTGCCCCCATTATCTTTCAAGGAACAAATTCACAAAAAGGTAGAAATTTAATTGAAGCAAACCTTTTGTTGATATTGAGCAAGCTAGCGTCTTTGGGTCTTGAGTGCGAGGGTTACTCGATCGACATCTGTTACCTTTGGCTTCTTCACTAATAAATTACCCATCGATTCTGATTTCTCACTCTTCTGCTTAGGAATCGATCATAGAGAAAATCGGGTATTCATAATCATAACCGCCAATTCAACCTCTTCTGTTTTTTTCTTTTTAACTTTTCTTTTCAGAGACCAAACAATGAAACAAACACCAGCAGCGACAAACACTTCTACAGCCTGGCCATCATGGTTTAAAATGCATGAGAGGATGTGTCTTATAAATAGATTATTGTTTCTATTTATAAGACACGTACACATTTCAAATCAACTTTTTTGTGTATGTGTCACTGTCATGTTGAAATTGAAAGTGCTATTGCCTATTGCTGAAATGCCTAGTGCTGCCTATGAAAGTGCTATTTCCTTTTTCATTTAAATAGTGAATAAATTCAATTGAGTATTAGTGCATTAGCTGAAGACACCTACGGACCTACCTAATATTTTTTGCCTTTGATTTTTTTTTCTCTTTTACAGTAATAGAAATAATAAAAATGGCTCCAAAGAAGAAATCCCAAAAACAGAAGGATATAACTTGGGATCATTGTAAATCCCTTGTGAATAGGTTGAATGTTAAATGTAACTATTGTCCCAAAACAATATGGGGAGGAACATTTAGAATGAAGCACCATCTAGCTGGAACACACAAAGAAGTTGCTCTATGCCAACAAGTGCCGGAAGAGATAAGGGATCTATTTAAAAAAATATTAGAGGATGCAAGAGATGATGATGAACTAGAGTGCTTCGATGATAAAGATTCACAAAAAAAAGGGAGCATGGATAGTTTTATGATAAAAGGAAAAGGTGGAAGTGGCTCATCTGCTATGAAACAACAAACTATAAATTCAATGGTGAAGGATAGAGATTTGGTGGTTCGAGATATTTGTAGATGCATATATGGCAATGCATTGCCATTTAATTTAGTTAAGAGTCCACTATTTATTAATATGGTGAAGTCTATTAGTGAATATGGCAGAGGCTTAAAACCACCAACTTATCATGAAGTGAGGGTGTCATATTTGAAGAAAGAAGTTGATTTTGTCCATACTAGTTTGGATAAATATAAGTTGGAATGGAAGAAAACTGGTTGTACATTGATGTCCGATGGATGGACTGATGGAAAGGGTAGATCTCTTACTAATTTTCTTGTTAATAGTCCTAGAGGGACTGTTTTTATGAAATCTGTTGATACAAGCAGCTTTATTAAAGATGCTGAAAAAATGTTTGAATTACTTGATGTGATGGTGATAGAAATTGGAGAAGAGAATGTCGTTCAAGTAGTGACAGATAGTGCTTCAGCCCTTGTATCTGTTGGACAAAAGTTGATGGATAAAAGAAAGCAACTCTTTTGGTCACCCTGTGCAGCCCACTGTCTTGATTTGATTTTGGAAGATATTGGTGGCATTACAGTGTTCTATAATACCATTTGGAAAGCAAAAAAAATTTCAACTTTCATTTATAGGCACACATAGGTGTTGAATTTGTATAGAACCTTTTCCAAAGGTAGAGAGTTAGCTAGGCCTGCAATAACAAGGTTTGCTACATCATATTTGACAATGCAGTCAATTTTGAAACAAAAGACTGCACTTTGATCTATGTTTACATCTGAAAAATGGGTTAATAATGCTTATTGCTCTAGGCCGGAAGCCAAATTTGCAGAAAATGTTGTTTTGGCTGATAAAAGGTTTTGGAAATCAATACATTATTGCTTGAAAATTGTGTCTCCTCTTGTGAAAGTTCTTAGACTTGTGGATGGTGATTCAAAACCTGCAATGGGATACATTTATGAGGCTATGGATAGAGCAAAGGAAGAAATAGCAAAGAGTTTTAATCATGAGGAAAAGAGATATAAGGATGTATGGGAAATCATTGACAAGCGTTGGGATTTACAACTTCATAGGCCTCTTCATGCAGCCGCCTATTTTCTTAATCCAAAGTATGTATAGGTTCTTTATATTTATTTAATTATATAAAATTCTTTATATTTTATATTTGATTTATTATTAAGCCTTATTCTAAATTTATAATAATTATATAGGTTCCACTATGACACAAAGTTCAACCCAGATCGCGAGGTTAAAACTGGCTTGTGGAAGACATTGGAGAAGATGTGTCCTAATATTGAAACAAGGATTACAATTGATTCCCAAATTGAGAAATTTGGCAGGGCTGAAGGACTCTTTGGAAATAGTTTAGCAATTGCAACTAGAGCTAGGAAGCAACCTGGTAATCATCGAATTTTGTGTATTGATTAAATTATGTTTTGATATTTTAAAATTAAAAATTAAGTCATTAACCAAATATTTATTTATCAATTATATTTTTTTTTTTTTGCTAGCTTTATGGTGGAATAGTTTTGGAGACGACTGCAAAGAGCTGCAAACAATAGCTATTCGTATCCTAAGCCTCACTTGCAGTGCTATAGGGTGCGAGAGAAATTGGAGTGTGTTTGATCAAATTCACTCTAAGAGAAGAAACCGTTTAGAGCAACAAAGTTGAATGCTCTTGTGTTTGTTAATACAACCTTCAACTTGAAATTAGGCAAAAATAGAGGGAGGAAAAAGGAGACACATATGATCCTATCTGCTTATCAGATTTAGATTCTGACGAGGAATGGATTACTGAGCAAGAGGAGCCTTGCCTAATGGATGAGGAATCTTGGATGGATGTTCATGAGTGCTTCAACGTTGATGAAGGAGACCAAAGCAAAAAGAGAAAGAGAGGTATATTTGCATATATAATATTTCTTTTAATCAAACACCTTATCTAATATATTTATTTACACTATGTATATTTTTTTTTTAGGTCCTCGAAATCTTCAAGATGATAGGAATGATAAAGGCAAAGGCATCTTAATACAAGAGGATGTCAACAGGAATGATAACAGAAAAGGATCTCAAATTATTGAACAAGATATGGGAGATGAGTCAGATGACTCTACTAATGGAAAGGATGAAGGACTAGATATGCCAATACTAGATCCTGATAGTGATAATAGTAATAATATTAGTCTTGAAATTTAATGAATATGAGAAATAACTGGTTTTAGATTTGGTTACTTATGGATTTTGGTATTTAGATTTTTTTTTTTAATTTGGATTTATATGATATTATATATTTTTAAATTAATTTTAATTTGTTTTTGAATCTTACGATTCGATACGATTCACGATTCACGATACAAAAAAGCAGCCGAGCGATTCACGATACGTATTGCGATTCAACAACCATGCAATGAATTATGAATCAATCACAACGAAATAAACCTATTTACCTACTGTGCACAATGAGTCATATATATCCAAATGCATTTCCTTGCACAACATTCAGAAATTATGTGAACAAATCAAAAAAATAAAAAGCAATGGTGCTAATTAAACAATGAAGAGACAAATAATAAAATTTAAAGAGTGGAAGTGAACGGCACACTAGTGGCTGGTAACCATGAGTTGCCAGCAATGAAATTTGCAACAGTGAATTTTGATGCTTCCAAAGCACTTGTAATGACATGATAACCTGGCCAATTAACTCGACTTGCAGTGGAAGAACCAGGACCTGTGTTCATGTACTCTCCATAATATAGAGTGCTTAATGCAAAGTTACCATTCCATTCCAACCAACCCGCTGGATTGATCAAAGTATCAAGATATGTCTTCATGAAAACTGTGCGAGAATATTGTTGCCATGGTCTTCCTAGATAAGTCTTAACAGAGCTTTGAACAGGTTCCAAATCTGATGCAGCTGTAACCTTAGAATTATGAATGGAAATACCTGTGTTTTGATTTGGATCAGTTCTACCTTGTGCAGTGATTGTGTTGACTTTGTTAGGAGGATTTCTTGCAAAAAGGTTGCAATTTTGGAACACAACAGCAGCATTACCAAAGATAAAGTCAACAGTGCCATAAATATCACATTCCCTATAGAATTGTCTATTAGAAAGCACATACAATGTGTCTTGGTAACCTTCAAAGCTACATCTGTAAAATACTGATAAATCTGATCCAGAACGTAATGCCACAGCTTGGTGATTTGCTGCACCGGCAGTGTTCCTGAATGTCATATCTTGAGCCATAAATCCATCTCCAACAATAGCTGCAAAAAAAATTCATACTAATTAAGTGCTTAATCTTTATAAATTTATTTCTTTTATTTTTGTGACTATGAGGAGAAAAAAAAAAGATGAAACTAAAAAAAACTAAAGGATTTTGCTTACCAACAGTGGCTGAACGAAAGGTTGTGGTGCCACCTCCAACACTTTGGCTACCTGTGATTATGGTGTTGCCAATACCATCTCCAACTAACATTATATTCTTTGCTTTTATCTCAACTTGTTCATTGTATATTCCTGCCTTCACGTGTATCACATACCTTCCGCTGCTACTTTGAGGTGCTGCATTTATGGCTGCACTCACTGTTGTGTACTTTCCTGAACCATCTTTTGCCACCACTACGTTAGCTCGAGAAGCTGGAGAAGTTGTTTGTAACAACTTTCTATCACCTGGCTTGACCCATGTTGGGAACCCATCTTCGTAACTTGGTTCTTCATATTGAACCTTGTTAAGAGCCAATGTGTTGCTTAACAACTTAGTAACATTGTTGGACATGTAAGGCAACACATAGTCTTGGACCTCAAGGTCGTAGAAGCCAGCTTTGCATGTCTCCAAGTTAGTGAGAGCTGTGCTGAGCCATGTTTGAGTATCAACTTGTGAGCACTTGGTGTTAGGGTCTAGGGTTTTGTTGAGTCTGTGGATGGTGTGCTCATAAAGCTCAATGCAATCAGACCAAGCAGCTTTTTCACGTGGATTACGACACTTAGAACCTAATGAAAGAGTGTTGGCATGTCCTATGAGTGCTCGCTCTTGAACAAGTTGCAATGAAAGTTTGAGAAAATCGGCTTTGTGTTTGATTGGTTTGCGTTGTTGAGTGCGGTTATTGCTCATGAAATACTCACATGGTTGAGGGTTTGGGGTTTGGCTGCACCAAAGTTTAATATCATTCAAGGAATAACCAGAAACGAAAGAGGAGAGTATTAGGAAAGTAACCAAAAGTGTTAGGAGCAAGCGAAAAGCTTTCATGGTTATTGATGAAATGATGATGATAATAATGTATATATAAGAGATAAAGTTTAATTTGTTTGAATAGAATTGGGTTGTGTTTCATTTGCTAATCGGATGCCTTTATATAGAGGAATGCGGGAAGGGACATCGTTTTTCACTTTTCAAATCCTTTTAGCTTTTGGTTTTCCATGCACATCATTTATTAATAATAATTAATTCAATATGGAAACGGTTTTTTAGTTTTATTCACAATTGATATCTAAGTTGTTAGCAACATGATTGATAGGAATATGAATTATGCATATCTTTGACCGTTCATCTGCGAAGAGTTCATTATTGACTTGTCACGTGACAATATTTTTAGCAGCCAAATAAAAGTCTGGCTTGGCTAATTGTATTGGATTTGGTTTTCAACGAGAAGGACTTGTACATAGGTTGATATTCTTGACGTGTAACAATGTACGATGTGCATGCTGTTAGTATTTGGATTACTTATCAATTGTTTTGTTGTAATAATAAAAATTGGCCAAGACATAGGTCCAAGTCGAGCTTTAAAAGAACTAATAATAAGTCTTTTATTGAGACATAAATTTTTGATTGGTATGCTGTCACGGCTAAATTTGACACCCAATTTCTAATTCCATGCATTTTTCAATATTTCCTTCTAATTGAAGTATAAAATAATAATGATATACTTCAAGTGCTACATAGTAAACTACTATCGCATCACATCTAAACACGGGCTCAAGAAATTATACGGTTGTTGCATTTGATTGAAAGCTGTGAAAGATCGATATATCTTTATGCTTGTGATTGTGGATCAATTATATTTATTTAAATATTTAGATAAAATTAAATGAATTAATGATGGTGTACACGTTCTTTTGTCTTATTTATACCATTTTGAACGAATATTTACAACAAATTAAAGTTGTCTGCTAGCTGGTAAGATTCAACCTGAACCAAGATGTGTGAATCGAACAATTATGGAAGACCCAGTTGGAGTTGCGGGTGGAGAGCATATGGTTACTATGAATCTTGGACCGTTAAATTAAGAATTTAAATAATTTAATTATGAGTTTAAGAAATAATTTTATAATTAACTTTAGATAAATATAGAAAGATTAGAATAATTATCTAGAAGGTCAAATAATTCTTAAATCTCTTTTCTGAGAAAAAGTGCAGATATCGATTCTGCTTCACAGTATAAATGCGTACCGGTGAAGTATTCCGAAAAATTAAAATATAAATATAAATATTTCTAGAAAAATATCTAGGTTAAGGATAACAAGTTTGGAGTAAAAATAATGAGCGGGGATGTCAGAACTAATACCGGCTATGTATAAAATGCGTACCGGTAAAGTGTTTCGAAAAATTGTAATAAAAATATGATAATTGTAAGAAAAATGTCTAGGTTAAGAATATAAAATTGTAGAGTTAAACGAAGAGTAAAACTAATTAAACTAATATTGTTAGTTTAAGTGAGTGCACTTATATATAGCTAAGGGCACTGAACCCTAGGTTATTTTTCAGACCCCAATGCTGATCTTCATGGCTGTCATGTTGGGTTCTTCATTGTGCCATTGTCTTCCTTCCAAAAGCTTGTGACTTTCTCACTAAATACTATTAAGTCTTCATCTTTCTCTACTCCTATGCCATAGAATCATCATCAATCCCTTTTAAGCTTGAGTTTTGTTGAAGAAAAACACCACTTGGGAAGTTTAATTTCTGTTTTGGGGCAAGGGTAGTGAGACATTGTAACATCTCAAGCGCTGACGAGGACGGGGAGTGATTGCTGGTGCGAAAGAGCATGGACAAGGAGCGGCTCTTGGCAGGCTTCTAGCGACGAGGGTACACGAATGAATCGAATCAACACCCTAAAGAGAGTGATTCCAAAGATTGTGCTGGTCTGGGATGGTACAGTTGGGAATAGCTTATAAGAATTAATTGGTACTACCTATACTAACAAGATGCATTTACTTTTCGGTAGCTCGAAACGGAAGAACTCTATAGTTAAGCGTGCTTGACTTGGGGCACTTATGGGATGGGTGACCTCCTGGGAAGTTTTCCCAGAAAGTGTGCGAATGAGGAAAAGACATACTGAAAAGTCTCGTGTTAGTATGAGGATATTCATTGATTCTTGAAGCGGCCAAGCGTTACAGACACCATCTTTCTTCTTGGTTGAGAGCTATTTTCACACTTCGGAGCTTCAAGGAACCAAACTTCAAGAGAAAAAACCAACTTTTCTTTGTGATTTTCGTGCACCATTTGGGCAGTGGCTTGGAGCATCTTTAAAGCCCTCAAAGTTCCCTCATTTATCTATTTTTGAAAGCCCTAAGGTAATCTATCATCATTTCCTTTGTAATTTCTTGAACAAAGCTTGTTTTGAGTCTTTTAAAAAGGGAAACTTTGATGATTCAAGTAAAAGGTTGTTAATTTAAG